AGCCCTCGTGCCTCCTTCGTGTGGCATGACAGCTAGGCACCGAAAGGGTGCTACAGCTAACGATTATTATTTATTATTATAGGAAAAAAGGGACGCACCCCCCAGTGGAGTGTTGTCCTCTCTCCCCACAGAGCACGGTTCTTCACCTTCCCACCACCCTTTAACGGGTAAACTATTTGGTGGCTCGGAATTTTATGGAGACACTTGCAGAGGGGGTTAGTCACGACCACGGTGGCAAACCCTTACCTAGCAACAAACACAACATTATCAGCTGTGAGAACCGGCTACTTGTCGTACAGTGGTACTGGGCCATGTCTGACAGTGTCACCGACCATTGATGTGGCCCAACTCGGAGTCCCCATCCAGGGAGACGGTAATGAATCTCATGAATTCGATGCTTCGCTGCAGAGTCACTGTTTGACCGCCTCTGGCTCGTTTCCACCCTTCACGTGGTTGTGCGAGAAGAACCCTTCGAGGAATTCAGTCGTTTGGGATACGGAGCACGTGGCCAAGCCACCGCAACCTATGCAATGTGATCAGTTCATCTATCGTGGGCAAGTTATTTCTTCCGAAACCTATGCGACGTACTTCAAAATTACTGATCCGGTGTTCCCAACAAACTCGGGGAATGCTTCGAAGAAATATTTGCTCAAACACTGAGATTCTTTTGACGTCCTCGGCGCGCAGCGGCCACGTTTCTGACCCGTACAGCAATGTGGATCGCACCGCAGTATTGTAAACACGACCCTTAACGGATAAGCTCATACCACGCCTACGCCACAGATGACGCAGGTTCACAAAAGCTGCTCTAGCCTTCCAATCCGGATGGAAATATCATCTTCCGCGAGACCACCGGGACTGATATAGCTGCCCAGGTAGGAATATTTGTCTACCACCTTAATCTGTTCATCCGCAAGCACGAGGTTAAGGTTCGAGCCCACCCAATCTAGCGATAGCACTTTACACTTTGAACCGCATGTCATACTGTGAGGCAGTTATTTGGATTATTTAGTATTGTGTACATTACCACGACGAAGAGCTGTCTTCTGAGTACTTGGTATTTGTGAGCGAACGCACCGGGGGAGGTTCCATCCCAGAGGTATTAGAGGCCGATCGTGCGTCTTCCATAATCGTATCAATGACGAAGTTGAAGAGGAAAGCGGAAGAGGGACAGCCCTATCGGACACCACTTGATGTGGTGAACTCAGGCGACAGCTTTCCGTAGACCCTCACATGGCCGCGGGAAGTGACGTACAGTACCTCAAAGAGGGCCAGCAATTAATGGGTACAGCTTTGTTCCACATACACTGCCACAGTACCTGACGGTCAACAACAGTCTGTAACTGTCCAGTTGGTGTTTTCTAATAAGTAACTCCGCAGCGAATGCCTTCTTCCTTTCAATGGTAGTTATTCGAAAATGATGGATTGGTATGCTTCTTGCTGACTCAAGAGGGTCTGGAAAAAACCAACTGACAGGCATGCACGCACCATAGTGTGATCGGAATCAAGTTGTGTGCCCCAGAAGGGACGGCAGTCTTGAATTGTAGCTCTCTCCTGGTGGCTGATGGTCACGCGATCCAACTGGGTCCATGGCTGATTTGCAGATAGTCACGCAACACGAACGTTCACGCTGAAAGTTCGTATCAGCCAGAAACAGTTCATGAGTAGCACACAACTGGAGTCGCTGTCCGCTGTTTGTGCAACAAGCATCGATTCGAATCGACCGCCCAAATGCGATTCCAAGGAGCACACATGACCGACTTGGGCATTCATGTCGCCCGCAAGGAACACAACGTCAGTGCTTTTTGCTTGACGAATTAGCCTGGATACCTCTCGACAGAAAGTATCCTTCTCAGCATCAGAACTACAGTCCGTAGGGACATAAGCCGACGCTACAAACAGACGCCGCTTTTTATGCCCAATGTGATTGAGCTTGATTGGATAACCGGACGGCGCAGAAACGATTGTTCACTGGGACCCATTCCGAAAAAGCACGTCCAGTCCTGAGGCTGAGTGCAACTCCCACGCCACGTATTCCACGAGTAATTGCTTCTGGATTACCGGACACATGGAAGGTGAAATATGAAGGAGCCCGGTTGGTCGTTAGCGTCCTGAGATGTATAACCACGCTTGGATCTTGTATCCGTGCGTCGGAGACAAGGGACACATAAATTTTGAGGGAGTTAAGGTTTCAGCGAGCACTGCTTGCTTGCCAATTTGACACAGAGTACGGGCGTTAAAAGCTCCCACGTAGAAAGGTGTACAAGGCCCATCGGTGAGATAACTGACAGTTAAACGACCCAGCAACCTTTGCTTGTGTGGTGGTCTTCCCTTACAAGAAACCTCCAAACAAGCAATACTCCCAAAACCAAAAACTTGGCGATTTGGAATCCTCCCTGATAATTCAGAAAACACTTCCTAGCGTCTCATTAACGGAAAGATGGTCTACTGTCAGTGATATAACCTTACAGTAAACAATGCTACAACTCGCACATTTGTGCGTCCTTGCCGTCCAAATCAAAGGGTCGTACTGAGCAATGAGGTCAACCAAGCGAACACTCGACATCCCTCGAGTGATTATCGAAAGTAGCAGCGTCTGGCCCGGAAGAAATATCAACCCTCGATGGTAGAACTCTTCTGGATAGAAAGCATTGATGAAATCTATGTGCGGCCCAGAGGTTTTCGCAAGCCCTATGAAAGTACGGCGATGTTGTAACAGATACAATTCGCCACAAGGTGAAAATCTACTCCGTTTGAGAAAATACACGATCCGAATCAAATAAAAAGACATGTCGTGCTTGCCCTATACGATGGAACAAAAGACAGTGGGTCCATTTGGTGATGTGTAGCATCCTAGTTCGCATTAGAGCTACACAGGACTTTTGTTTTGCCCCAAGTAACTAAAATATGAATCCAACTGACTCTGTCATCTTAAGGCAGATGTGTCCAATTCATGGACGACAGGACACTACAAAAGCCACTCTAAAACGAGTGAGTTTTCCCAGAGGTGTTCTTTTTCAGCAGCCTTCTCCTTAACGTTGAGTAATTATTGGCGGAATTTCTGAAGTTCAGAATCATGCTTCTTTAAGACTGTAGCACTAGAACAAGAGCGAATACACTTCCTTTCTCTCCCAATTCATTTTTCTGCTGAAGTATATAGTTTAATTTATACCCCCATTGAACACCACGTTCAAGAGAAAAAAATAGTTTGATGATTCGAGGGACTGTTTCCCATAAAAGAGTAGGACCGCAATTATACTGCTTGTATAAGTTCAGTGTTGATTTGTAGGAGAAATTCGATGACCATGAACAGCCGGAGGCGCGAGGTCTTAGCTCCGAACGTGTCTACTAAATAGTGAGTGGGATTAAGCAAAGACATTTAGAGGGTCTCTGTTAGGGATCGACAGTGGTCTTAAAACTTGTGGGTAACTCCGTTGCCTAGCAATTTCTCAGCATGGGCTAGCACAAGTGAAATACGATATCACACCAAGCATAACCGATCGCCACCTGATTAAAACCGCAAAACTGTGAGCTGCAAAAGAATCAAATGAACCTAGTTCTTACATCCTATCAAGGAGTATAGGTTGGAGTGAAGTATCCAGAAGCACAAAACACTAATGCTTTCATTGATGTCTGCGATATATCCTAGGAAGCATTGTTTCCTGTGTTGTCAGAATAGAAGTCAACAATTGCTCCCCAAGACTATGCAAACACTAACAAATGACTAAATAATCTCAATAGCGTCTATGTAACTTATAGTCGATGTACGAGTTTAGCCGCCTATCACGTGAGCTGACCACACAAAAAAACATTCCGACTAGTCTGTATCCTCTGGTACCAATACCTTAAATAATGGAGTAAAATGGCACTTGATAACTGTTTTTCACGGTAAGAGGGTCGTAGCGAACTCGGTCGGAAAAAAAACAAGAAAAGGTGTTTGATAGTAACTCAGCACCAACGTACTTGTAAATCTTCAAACAAAGCAAACTTAAGTTTCCATGAATTCGTTCCGGGAGAGAAGGGAGAAGGTGAAATCATACTTGGTTGTTTGGATTTCACGCGCTTGCTCTTCTTCATTTTCACCGTGATCCCGGACAGGATGGAGGCGGCGTCTGGATCCCCAGCAGCAGATGGACAGTAAGGACCCAAAAAACGAGTGAGAGCTCTTCGCTGAGCTATCTTTTTCTCCGGCTCTATATCATTCTCAGAGTCTGCAACCAAAGACAGACAAGGAGCCAAAGGAGCGACCAACTCCCGTACATGGTAGGGATCTCGCTTGGAACGTTGTAATGACTTTTTCAACCTATCCGGCTGCACGTTTTCACCACCGGCTTCCTGTTCAACAGCAATTTCACACAGTTCTTGTTTGATTTGGTGCAAACATCGATCCAATTCCAGAAGGAAATGGGTCAAGCGAAGGGCCTTAATTCGTGGTGCACTCCACTGCGGATCCAAACAAATGGCTGTCAGCCAAGAACGCAAACAAAGAGCAAACATATCCTGAGAAAAGAGATGAATAGTGAATTTAGATGACCATTATCAGTCACAACCCGGGCTTTCAGCTAATAAAGTTCTGATCAACGTCTTTCTCAACAACAAAAAGAAAGTAAGGTTGGTTTCAGAAGAGCCAGATATAGATTAAAATTCCACAAATAGGGGATATCCAACATTCAGTGGTGTTTTGAGATCCCATGGGCTTTCTGGCAAAATGCACATAGCAATTAAAAACATCCAGCTGGCCAGAATACGCGACGGAATCCCAAGAGGCCAAAAACATCATTCTCAAAAGGACATTGTGTGCCCTGGTGGCGGATTTCTTAATCACGTGACTCTTGAACTGGTGAGTGAATAAGTGCTGCCGAAATGTTGCATTTCAGCAACAAACCGTGAAGATGAACCGGGGATAAACACCGATCAAAATTCAAACCGATCCACTGTGTCTCAGTTCAGTGTTTTCCGAGCTTGATACTATGGCCGATCTCCAAATCAACAGGAATACGCCTGCAATTGTGCGACTGTGTGTGCACGTGTGATTACAGACCGGCGCGAGCTCTGTTTTCGAGGTCTATTTCAACTTGACTTTTGAGAGCGGACAAACCTGCTGGGGTGCGCATGTGCTGTCCTTCTGAGTTTTGAGCTTTTGCTTAGCAGGATAAAGAGATTCGATGAGTAATCAGTTATCCGCCGTTTAGGAACAACGACCATTCTGATGGAAAGAACGATCACTATTCTCAACCTAGCGAGCCAACACGGAAAGGACGACTGCAAGATAAAACTCGAGACTTAGTCCTATCTGTGGAGGACAATAAATCCATATGGACATCAATATTTAGTCAATAGGAGTATTGCAGATGAAGGTAACCTTTACACTGTATTCTAGTCACTACCGTCATCACCACACATAGCTAATAAGTGCTCTAGAGGGAATGTAAACTTGCACATTCAGAAAGATTTATTGTGAAAACCGGAGAGCTAATAAGCAAGCCCACGTGGAGATTCCGCCATGCCATTTATAGCACTCATGCAAGAGAGGGCGACAGAGCTAAGCAGTGAAAGCAAGGGTGACTGGCTCACGGGAATAAAGTGCATTCACAGCGGTAAAGTAGATCAAAGTGAGTGCAAAGAATAATCACAAGAAGTTGTGCTGGCACTTATCTAGTGACATGTACAATACGAACGGAACTAATCAAATTTTTGAACATCATGCGGAGCGATGATGAACGATGGAGCTGTTAAATTGGCTCATCTAGCTACTACATCAGCGGAAACATCACGGCTTTTAACATAAATATTACTGAAATAATTCCAACATAACGTACTAGGAATATCAAGTGTTAAAAATTCCTTGGAAAACAAACGTTTCTGCTTCATTACTAGAAAAATCAATAAATTTATTTTTTATATCGTCGCTGCATGTAGTGCTAAGCACATTTAATATAAATGCATTAACTGCTGTTTGGCATTTAAAAGTACAGCAACCGAATCCATGGAGAATGAACACGTCGTACTCAACGGCACTTTGATTCTCCTTAAGGGTGTTCTTTGTCTGGAGGCTTCGCTGCGCATGATTACTTGGATCGGAAGCTTCAAGTCCAAGCAACTACTACAGCTTAGTGGATAAATTAATTTTAACAGTGCTCGTGGAGTAACGTAACATATGATATGACGCCGTTGAAAGTTAGGGCCGGGCGTTAAGCACACACAAAAGACGAAAGGCTTACAACAAACCTGAGAGTGCCAGGTGAATCCCCGATTGAAATGGAAGTTCGGCTCCAACGCGGTTTCCCGGTCTTTCGCTGCTTGAGCATAAGCTGCGATACAGCGAGTCATGATCAGCTGAGAGCTGGTGAAACCGGCCGGACCAGATTCATCCGGTTTGACATCGCCATTGGTTGTTGGGCTGTCAGTAAATGGTGGAGGGGCGATGGAAGCGAATTTATTAAAGTAACTGCTCAAGAGGGCGTTTCCAAGTATGGACCAGGCATGACCATTAGTCGGTTGGTGCCCTACTGCCGCATGTGCTAAATGCACAGACTCAGCAAACGGGTCAGATTCCTGAGTAAGTTTGCGTGCACTGGCTTCGTCGGGTTTTTCTGGAGAACGTGGTAGCTGTCGCAAAACCATTGATAATTGACACATCGCTTCTACATGATCCGGCTGGAATGAAACAGAAGAATAGGAAAATCCGCAATCATGAATGATACAAAGCTATGACAACCCAATGCTATCCACAACTCACTTCAATCTTGAGAGCCTGTCTGAAATGGTTGGATGCCTCTCCTGGATCACCTAAGCGCCAAGAACTCTCGCCTAGTTCGCACCATGCATCGACTAACTGTGGATTGTATTTAAGCGCTCGTTTCAGCCATTGTGAAGCTTGCCCGGCTAGATCAATAGATTCATCCGTCGTCTCCAGTAAATCTGGTTGTATGGCATTTAACGCCTTCAAAGCAAACGAACAGAATGGAAAAGCAAAGTTCATTCAGTGCTGTGGTCTAACTAAAAGTATACCAACAGATGCATATTAAAGGGTACGTTTAGAGTTTACTACACTCGTACCGTTGGGAGTCTCCACATACGTCATTACACTGGACTCGCCTAATGCGTCAAGTAGATGAAGTTGTAAACAATAAGACAGGAAATAACTGGCTTGGTGTGACACTAATATTATGGTTGAGTCGCTTTGATTGCGGGGCAGCTTTCACGTTAAGCGAGGATCTGCTTTAACAAGCACAGCTGAGCAAATATTTAGCGTTAGGTGCTCCTGAAGAGGGTCATGAATCGTTCTGCGGAAATCACTGTTCCCACATAAGCGATTAAGTGACTGGATGTTTTTGGGTGCGGTAGTCACACGCTCAAAGCAAACAGCACCCAGGATGATCCACCCAACGACGTTGCCGGCTTCCTGCAGGCTAGAGATAAGGATACTTTGCAAGAGAAGGCCAGTCTCGAGGTGCTGCAGCATATGAGCTCCGTTCTCTTGTGATACTGACAGAATGCAAGTACAGCACAGTCTCGGACCTGTGGAACTGCAACACCATCAGCTGCCATATGAGCTCTCTTTCGGGTGAGTAGTTCACTTCAGGATTTATCATCTATGGTTTTGCAAGCCGCTTACTGAGTGGTGCCAACGGTTCTTCAGTATACACTACACACTGACCCCGACATCAGAAAACCCCAAGGAGTACGAAATTTACGATCATAACAATCCAGAAGAGATATGCAACTGAGAGGTTTTCTCGATAGAGAAATTTTCTAATGAAAGCAGTCGACTCGGAGGGGTGTGAACGAAAGAACAGCATGGTAATCCGTAAGTGACAAACCACTAAAGCAGTGGTCAGCAACTCTATAGATTTTTACGTTCGACGACATCACTCCTCAGAAAAGTCACGCCCCAAAGGAGGCAGTGCCGAAAAAAGGCAGACCTGAAGAGTGCATAACAGTATTCCCCGTGAGATACCATGTAGCGCGCGATCCGTTCGAAAAAGTACCAACCCTAATAGAGGCTTACTACTAACACGTCCATTCGTTGTGTGTATTATGATCGCCATTGCACACAAATAAAACACTAGATTTTTCGAGAACCTAAATCAGGTCGTATTACGACGAGTTTGATAGCGACAATCAGACGTATCAACACACATCAGACAAGTCCACTGTCCGCACTCCGTCGATACAACAAGCACTTACAGTGACCAGCAATTGCTGGTAGAAGATCGTTGAGATAAGCGGGGAATTTAAAGCAACAATATGATTATGAGGGAAGATGCGATCGGATCCCAAAAACTCATGAGACCATCTGCATTCATTGATATGAATGTAGGGTCGACAATTGATGTCTTTAGCTGCTGGGTGGGTGGTTAGCGGTCTGCCATCCACCGAATAACATCCGATCCAATTGAGTGCCCAAAGCTTGAAAAGTAGCAAGCCTTTAAGCAACTGGAATGTTGAGAGAAAACACTGTTTGTACACACTTTGGTAGCGCTATTCCCCTACGCATGCTGTTAAAACCAGTTTTACGGCTCACGATCAGTGTTTGAAAAGGAGACACTCGCAGTTTGCCACGCTCCGTGTGAACAAACTGACTTAATCGAACTTTCATAGACCATTCCCGGGGGCAGTAAAGTGTTGCACGAAATTACGATGAAGTCAAAACGAGCAGGGCACAAACCGCGGTACCAGTTGAGATGTATACCTCTTCCTATATAGACTAATCCATATATTGTGTGTTCCCCAAGGGCGGTCCACGTTGATAGGCTGACTGCATTTGCGTCACCAATTGTTCTTCTGTACCCGATGGCTCGCGCTTCGCCAGAAAAAGAGAATAAAAATAATCATCTGAAACGTACCTTCCCATTTAGGTAACAGAACTGTGCCTTTTCTGTCAACGATGCACGCGCAAACATCGGCTCAACGGACCTTAACAAAGACACTGTTTCATCGAATTTGTTCTTCATTGCAATCGATTTGTTCGTCAAAAGTTGTTGAATGTCTGAAACCAATGCCTCAACTCGTTTCAAATCTTGCCAGACACGACCATTTTCATCGGGAGATAAAAGCTGATACGCGTCCACAACCTGACCGAGAAACTGGTTGCGAAAACTGATCAACTGTTGTACGGCCTTTGAGGCTTTTGAAAGAGCTTCAGTGATTGTTTGCCCTGCGTCTGGGTCTAACATATTTGCTAAAAGTAAACCGGAATGCTGAATGAACACAAGAAAGTGAATGAATGCAGACATTAGAATGCAGACGCGGAAGGACAAGTAAAGATCTATTTTTGGTCATGCTCGTTAGGTGTGCAGTTAATGATGTGTTCACTGACGAGAACGAACCATTGTTCCGATGTTTTTTTACGAAGTCCTGACAATCTGGTCAGTTCAGTTTCCGCAGCATGAAGGGTACGACTGGCCTGGGCCGATAAATGGAGACCTGGGAGATTATCGACAGGTACATGAACATAGGTTCGGTTCAGTAAGTCTTCAGCCATAAAAACCGTCTCTGTTGCAGAGCGCAAAGTTCCGATTCCAGACTGTAGCGCCAGTTCCAGTTGATCAAGTTGATTCAGTCTATTGTTCCATTCGGATCTCACCGATAAAATTTCATCCGCTACTGTGGGGTCATCGTTCTCTGATTCAGTAGAGTACAAACGGAGTAAGTCAGCATGCCTGTTCAACAGTTCTGACAAGTGATGTACATTCAGTTCATATTCGCGTAATAACTGGTGAACCACCGACAGGTTAGCATCAAGTTGCCATTGAAGACACCGAGAAAGAACGAAGGAATCAAGTTTCTGATTTGAAGATAGAAAGGGGTGACTCTCAGTTGCGACAGGAAACAAAAAAGCACAAGAAGTAACAGATACAGAAAAAGCTGTTACCACACCGGTGTGTTTAAAGCGGCGGAGAGCAGAAACAAATCTCCGACTAGCAGAGAGGTTGTGCAAGAAGCGGAACATTGAAGACGTAGAGCGGAAGAATTCAAACCATCCGGCTGAAACAGATAAGTACAGCATATGAAGCCAGGGTAGTAGAAATGCATAAATGCAGCGCAGTGGTGGGACAATTACCGAGTCGATCTACAGATGCAAACTCATGTATGCTCATAAAAGAGAGCCAGATTAATGCAGGGTATCAGCTCAGGATCACAAGATTCTCCAACCTATCGATTGTCCATTTGTGATTGGTCCACTGGAACTACCGAAAGCCACATACTTCCTATGGGCTCGAATTATTAGCCCGATGTGCAGTGCTCCTCCGTAATGGCACCGCGATTACCACACTCCAGTGAATAAGCCAGCGTTAGGAAGCTCAGCAAAATGGATACAGATAAAGAGTTCACTTCGTCTATGATAAAGAACCTGTTACATGAGAATGAAAAGCGTCATTCAGTGGGTACCGTTTCGGTGCACGCGTACAGTTACCATTAGGAGGCACGAGGGCCACGATACTGCCAAAAGAGTGCAACACAGCCAAGAGCCTTTCAAACGGGAGCTAGTGACTTGTCTGTTGTATCCTTTCGGGTCCGCTACGATAAGTCCCTTTAAATGGTGTGTGTAAAAGGGCTGTCTTCAATAACTGATCACATCCTACGCGTTATAGACCCTTCGACTATAATGAAGTGCTGCGGAGTAACTTGCGGGCAGCTTTACCAACGGTAGTTATGGATCGAAATCCGTAGCTCCTACGACCTGCCCGAATTCCATACCACTGCTGTATAATAGCCGCTTTCAGCTTGCGTTTTCATGACAAGGCCTACGTCCCGGAAATCTTTCAGCAAAGATTCGAGTTGCAGAACAGAACTTTCTTTGGCCAACATCGGTTGGGCATGTACTGCACGTGTCTAAACAACTTTGATCCAGCAAGGTTTACCTGATGCACTGAGGATGTTAACTAACCACTAAGAACTCGTCTGCGAATCGCTTCGGTGTAGTTAGGCTTCAGCTAACAGCGGTTTAGCCACAAAGACATCGATTATCAAGTGTCTGGAAACGTCTAAGTTCCTCACTCTGGAGGGGGTAGGTCCAACAACGATAAATTTAACCCGCTCTTACAATTTCAGACATAGTCCCACAAACCACGACAAAATGCGTTTCCGTTGCTAAAATCGACGCAAGTCGGCAAGTATTACACTTACCTCGATCATACGTGCGTCAACCTCATGTGTCCATGACCACAATTTATGCAGCCACCATAATATGTAAACTCAGGCTTCCGACGTTTGAACGGAACACCAATGGTTCGAAAATTCCGATGGTTTTGCAAAGCGGCGTCAAACGTATGCCGGAACAAGGAACCGCTCCGATGTTCTCGTCTGAGCAACTTGCGTGCATACCTGATCACTGAGTAACAACAGGGAATCATCCGGATATTCAAACACGCTGGTTTACCCCCAGATATTACTTCGAGACCTAAGTTTACCTCCCTTGAACCGTGAAACCCACAAGGGCAAATTTTACAAATTTGAACAAAGAGAAGACAATTCTGACTGAAGTCTTTGGTTGTGAGAAAACTTCTGGATAGTTCCTGTAAGCCTTAACGCCGCTGCAAGTATGAGGTTAAAGGATATCAACTTAGGGGCAAAATGGCTCAAGTGGTTAGAGCGCGAGTTTGCTAACCGGAAAGTTCGTGGTTTGAACCCGATTTCTGCCTCTCGACTTCCTCTCTCTGCCTCCCGGCTTGGCCGAGTATATGTAGGAGGACCAATCTGTCCACGGGCCAAGAACACACTTAAAACCAAGGAAAATTGCAAGTGATTGTTGTAGGTATGTGAGGCACTGTCCAAACAATTAGCTCAATATGGAGATGCTATCGATGTACCCTACTCGCTGTTCTCGGACTTGCTTCACGTGATAAGGCGAGGCGTCGCAGCATTAATGAAGCCATAAACGTGGTTGCAGGAGACGCTCCGGATACCACTTTACAAAAGGTACAGTAAACGACTGGCTAAAGTCAAAAACGCTTTTCTGTTCCAAAACAAGTTCCAGGAACCTGGTGAAGACGCCACTGTTCTTGAATAAGGCTGGCAGTAGTACGTCTGATCCCTCGGCCTAGACCACCGAAGAAACGGCATACCGGCACTTTAGAAAAAAGGTAGTTCAGCTGTCGCTCCCGTTCGGCACATAGTTGGCCAGCAAGTTGAAGGAAGGACGAGGATTGAAGAATTGCCAGTTTGCCCAAGTCTAAGCCAAATTGGTTAGAGTTCTGACGAACACGGTCTCCTGGTCTTCCAGGTTGGGGGTTGGCAAATGTGGTGACTTCTTACGCAGAAATGATAATGCATTTGTATTTACCGCCAAAATCTCTGCCTGGCGGTTAGGCTTTTGAGCCAAAGGCTTTGGTTGAGGACCCTAATCGTCCTCCTGTCTAGGTGTGGGTGCGCTGACAGTATCCCAGCCCACGTACACGATAAGTACGTCATGATAATTGTGATAATCACGTGACAATCACGATAATTACGTCTAATAATTAACTCATTCCACATCCGCCGTCGCTTGGTGCCATCAACCGGGTTGCCTTACTCGCAGAGGGTAAGAAAAAACAGGTTACTGTTACCGTCTACCCCTATTTCTCTTGCACATGCTTCTTCTTCCCCCTCTTCCCATCTCATTATTAACTCTCTCCTTGTAGGTCCAGCACCTGAAACTGATGATTTCGTTCGTCTTGCATCGGCTTCGTGTGCGACATCTACTCGTCACATGGCGCCGACATCCTGGGATATCTCGTAATCACTCTTCAAGCCTCGAAGCCCAATCTATCTGGCCGCCTTCAATGTCCGCACGCTGAAGCAAGCAGAACAACTACCTGTTCTTGCTCTCACAGTGAACTCGCTTGGCATTGATGTGTGCTGTGTCTCAGAAACAAGAATTCAAGGTACAACCACAGTGATTGAGATAACCGTCCCCCACTCGCTACCGTCTACGCACCTCAGGTGAGCCAAGGGCTGCTGCGGCGGGATGTACAGGGATTGATATCGTGCTAAGTCACCGGGCGGAAGGATCCTTTCTTGACTGGATACCTGTTGATAGTCGCCTCTGTGCGGTTCTTCTGGCAGTGTCTGCGAAGGAGTCTCGCAAGCTGGAAGTTGATCGGCGTCTGTTTATCGTGTCTGCCTACGCCCCAACTGACTGTAGCGCCGACGCCGTCAAAGACAGGTTTTACGATGCCCCGAATGCCTGTTGCAGCGAGCTGAAAGCGCAGATATCATTGTGGTTGCTGGATATCTAAAAGCACAATCAGGCAGGCTTAGCTTATCTGAGACTCAACCAGGAGGTCGACACTGATTGGACTTGGTACGTACGGACAATGGTGAACGATCGCTTCAGCTGATCACAGTCTGTCTTTAAGGATTACTTCCAGAATATCCGAAGTCGTCTGGCCTTATGGTGTCCTCCAACGGTAAGCACAAACTCAAATCGATCACACTGCCATCACTCATCAATGGTGCGAATCAATAACTGACTGCCAATCGTTTAGGAACACACTGATAGATAACGACCGCGCGCTCGTCTGGAGTTGCTTCTCCCCACGCTTTTCAGAGCCGCACAAGGTGCGGACAAATCGCTCGGAAAGTGAAAGACTGGCAGACCCGGATGTTGGACGAACTTGCCAGAATCGTCTTCTAGATCTCTTTCAAATGCCACACCATCAGATGTGAACCCATACTGCGACGAGATTGCCAATTCTTTGCACAATGTTGTAAGTTTCGCTTGTGACAGGACACTACCAGACTTACTCAAGCACTGAATACCACACCGAAGAGTGGCACTGTTTAAATCACGGAGAAATATCCCAGCCGGTCCCGAACATAACTTGACGCGACGAATTATCAGACGTCAAGTGAAAGTGAGCGTGCTAACAGACCGTGAAGTCTGGTGGACATGGAAAGCCAAGGAAACGGAAGGGGTCCTGAAAACCTGGAATGCCCGAAGATTATTTCAGTTGGTCCGTGCGATCCGTCCACAGGGATCACCCGTGAGCGACCACCTTAGATAAAGAAGAACGCCGCGACCGGTGGGCCGAATACTTCAAACAAGTCATCGTGGCCACCAGCTGTCGTACGTCCTGAGCTTACATTTGTCTTAGAACCCTGGAAAGTGAACGCCCCAACGTCCTCGTATGTTTGTGAGACCATACATTCTCTCCAGCTCCACCGGACGACCTCCCGCTTGCACTGTTCAAAGACACGGGTGGAGTCCCCAGTCAACGACTGTCTGATTTGCTTGCTTGCTTTCGGGAAAACGAATCTGTCTCAGACAACCGGGAGGAGTCAGTGATAGCGCCCACTTTCAAAAAAAGGCTCGTGGTGAGTATGGTGACCACAGGGGAATCGGCTTGACCCCGGTTGTAACGAGATTGATGGGGCCACTGGTGCTTCGTCGCCTTACGGTGGGTTGTAAGACACTGACTCGAAAGCAGTAAGCGGGATTCCGGCCTGGTAGGGGTTACGTTGTTCAAATCTTCACACTTCGTCAGGTGCTAGAAAAACGCTACACGTACAAACGGCCCACTGTTTTAGTATTCCTGGATTTCCAAGGCCCATCTGACTAGGCTAACGGTCTGCTCTTCTTGACAAACTTGTCCACCAAGGAATGCCCCGTCGCAGACTTCCAGATGTGCGAGAGTGTACCGAGAGCTCTCCAAAACCCTCCGTACACAAAGTGGTGTCCGTCAGGGATGCCCACTATCTCCATTCCTTTTCGACTTTGTGATCGATTAAATAATGGGACGAACGCTGGAGGGTCTCCAAAGCCCTGGTGTTCAAATAGCCTGTGAAGAAAACCTTGTCGATCTGGAATATGCAGACGACATCGTTCTCATGTTCGGCGAGGAGAATGCGCAAGTATTCTTGGATGAACTGACCAAAGTCGTCCCGTCCTTTGGTATGCACTTTGCACCCACAAAGTGTAAAGTCATGCTCGTGGACGTGCAGTCACTGAACACGCCATTTACAACCCAG